CTCATCCTTTTATAGCCTTTCTGTTTCTATAGATTTGCCTATAGATACTGGACATTTCACATAAATGCAATCATACAATATATGGCCTTTTATGATGAGCTTCTTTCACTTAGCATCACATTTTCAAGGTCATCCATGTTGTGGTCATTCCTTTTTATGACCAAACTAGTAACCCGGTGCACGGATTAGTCCACATTGAAAGAAAAATAAGAAGAAATATCTTAATATTGCTATTTGCCCTTTCTCTGTAATGGATGTTAGTCAAAGTCTGCAGGGCAATTGGCGGGACAATCTGGCCCCTTGCCCAGCTCCCTGAGCACCTGGGAGCCGGGTGGCGGCCCACCCTCTGCTCCCCCACTGGTCACCATCTGCGGGACGATTAGGTCCCACTGCCTTGGCCTGGCACCGCCCGCTCACCTGCTCCACCATTCCACCGCGGTCCCACTCTCATCAGGCCCATCAGGGCTGGCAGTGCCTCCACTGCTGCCTGCTGCCAGCACACATCACCGACGCCCACCATGTTCCGCGGTGTCCCCTTGTAATCAGCACACGTCATAGCGAGTGGTCAAACTCCTGGTGGAGGGGGAAATTTGCATATTAGGCTGTTATTATATAGGATAATATTTTATTGTGTGGATTATACCATACTTTATTTATTTATCCATACATCAGTTAATGGACATTTGGGTTGTTTCCACCTTTTGGTTACTGTGATTATATGTGAACTTTTGTGCACAAGTATTTGTTTAAGTACCTGCTTTCAATTCTTTTGGGTATATTCCTAGAAGTGAAATTGCTTGATCATATGATAATTCTGTTTAACTTTGTGAGGAGCTGTCAAACTGTTCTCTACAGGGGCTGAACCGTTTCATATTCCCACCCATAATGGACGAGTGTTTCAGTTTCTGCACACTCTCACGTTTATTTTCTGTTGGTTTGTTGTTTTTATGACATTCTAGTAGGTGAGGTAGTATCTTACCGGTAGTGTGGATTTCCTAATGACTACTGATGAACATCTTTTGATGTGCTTGTTGGCCATTTGTATATCTTCTTTAAAGAAATGTCTGTTCAAGTCATTGCCCATTTTTTAACTGGGTTGTTATCTTTTTGTTGTTGAGTTGTTAGGATTTCTTTATATATTCTGCATACTAGACCCTTATCATATATACGATTTGCAAATATGTTATCCCATTCTGTGAACTGTCTTTTGACTTTTTTTTGTCTTTTGACTTTCTTAATAATATTCTTTAATGCCCAAAAGTTTTCATTTGATTAAGTCAAACTGGTCAGCCTATTTTTTTAATATATACTTTTATTGTTCACAGTATTACAAATGTTCACCATTCCCCCTCATTTACTCCCCCTCTGCTCAGCCCCTACCCCCTCAGGCCTTCACCACCCTATTGTCTGTGTCCATGGCTATGCATATCCTATATAATAAAAGGGTAATATGCAAATTGACCCTAACGATGGAATGACCTGGAAAGACCAGTCACTATGACGTGCACTGACCACCAGGGGGAAGACACTCAATGCAGGAGCTGCCCCCTGGTGGTCAGTGTGCTTCCACAGGGGGAGCGCCACTCAGCCAGAAGCCAGCTCATGGCTGGCCAATGCAGCAGCGGTGGCGGGAGTCTCTCCCGCCTCCACAGCAGCGCTAAGGATGTCCGACTAATGGCTTAGCATTAGTTGGACATCCCCCAAGGGCTCCCAGGCTGCCAGAGGGATGTCTGACTGCCAGCTTAGGCCTGATCCCCCGGGAAGCGAGCCTAAGCCAGCAGGTGGACCTCCCCTGAGGGTTCTTGAACTACGAGAGGGCACAGGCTGGGCTGAGGGAACCCTCCTAAGTGCACAAATTTTCAAGCACCAGGCCTCTAGTAAGCATATTAAGCTTTTTGGTTTATCTCTTCTTGTCCTCCCAACTCCCTGAGATATGTCAGTCTGTTCCGTATCTCCATGTCTCAGGTTTATTTTGTTGATCAATTCATTTTGTTCGTCAGATTCCACAAATAAGTGAGATCATGTGATATTTGTCTTTCTATGATTGGCTTATTTCACTTAGCATGATAGTTTCTAGGTCCATCCATGCTATCTCAAAGGGTAAGAGAACCTTCTTTTTTACAACTGCATAGTATTCTATTGTAAATGTACCACAACTTTTTTATCCATTGATCTATTTTTTTTAATATATTTTATTGATTTTTTACAGAGAGGAAGGGAGAGAGAGAGTTAGAAACATCGATGGGAGAGAAACATCGATCAGCCGCCTCCTGCACATCTCCCACTGGGGATGTGCCCACAACCCAGGTACATGCCCTTGACCGGAATCGAACCTGGGACCCCTCAGTCCGCAGGCCGACGCTCCATCCACTGAGCCAAACCGGTTTCAGCCCATTGATCTATTGATGGTCACTTGGGCTATTTCCAAAGATTAGCTACTGTAAATAATGCTGCTATGAACATAGGGGTGCATACATTCTTTCTGATTCATGTTTTGGGGTTACTAGATTTAATAAATGAATTCAGCAAAGTAGCAGGATATAAAATCAACACCTAGAAATTGATGGCATTTTTATATACCTATAATGAACTCTCAGAAAGAGAAACTAAAAAAAAATCCCATAAAAAAAAAGATACCTAGGAATAAACTGTAGGAAATGGACCTCTGTGATCCATCTCCAGCATGGTCAGCTTTAGATGGGATTTGCTGAATTTCCCCAGGGCAAACAGAATGTAGGGAGGAGGAAAGAGGATGTAAGAACAAAGGACACATGGGCCAGCATCATAGTGTAAACCACCTGAGGGGCCTGCCTCAGCTAGACAGGAGGAGGTGGAGGCAGCTAGAAAAGGCCTCAGCCCAATTTTTTTTTTAAATGACCCAAATGGGAGACAGCAAGACATAGGTGATGTATGAGGAAACAGGTTACCCCCCATGGTGCTCAGCCAATGAGAACCGAAGGAGGGACTGAATAAATGGGCTATGTTTGCTGCCCCAGATGTGCCTGTATAACCGGATGGGACACCCATTCTGGAGAGTGTATTAAAAGTCTCATTTTCACCATATTTCTATCTCTGAGTCCATTATTTGAATTCAGACAGGTGAGCATTTCTCACATAAACTTAACTAAGGAGATAAAAGACCTAACTAGAAAAACTATAGGATGTTGGGAGGAAAAAATAGAGGAAAATACAAACAAGCGGAAGTGTGTACCATGTTCTTGGATTGGAAGAATTAACATCATTAAAATGTCCATCTACCTAAAGCAATCTATAGACCCCGAATAGCGAGAGCAATCTTGAGAAAGAACGAAGTTGGATGGATCGCAATACCGGATATCAAACTATGCTACAAAGCCATTGTAATCAAAGGCTGGTACTGGCACAAGAACAGACATATAAGCCAATGGATCAGAACAGAGACCCCAAAAACCAATCCACACCATTATGGTCAATTAATATTTGACAAAGGAGGTAAGAACATGCAATGGAGTAGACAGTCTCTTCAATAAATGGTGCTGAGAAAACTGTACAGACACATGCAAAAAGATGAAACTAGACTACCAACTTATACCATACACAAGAATAAACTCAAAATGGTCAGCCTATTTTTAAAGACACATTAAAAAAATTTATTATGGAAGTATCCAGACATATATAAAATACAGCACAGTCTGATGAACACCTTCCCCAACTTGTCATGAAGCTTCAACAACTACCAACATTTTGTCAGTGTTGTTTCATATATGCCTGTTTCATTGTTTTGTTTTGGCTGTAATCTTTTGAACTAAATAGTAGACATCATGTCTTTTCACTTCTAAGTACTTCAGTATTCATCTCTAGTTGAAGGGCTTTTTGTTTACATAAATATCATGCTTCATCCCACCTAACAAAATAAACAATTTATTAATTTCACCTAATACTCAATCCAAATTCAGATTTCCCCAAAGATGTCTTTGGGGAAATCTGAACATGGCGTCTTTTTTGTGACAGTTAGTAAACTAACTTAATTCAGGACCCTAATAAAAGCCACACGTTGCATTTAACTGCTATCTTTCAAGTCTCCTTTGCCTCCATCTTTTTCATGCCATTGATTTGTTAGAAAAAACACATCATTTGCCCTGTAGAATATTTCACATCTGGATCTGGCTGAGGTCACATATTAAAAGATGTTATAGCATCATTTGCATACAAACTGAGCAGCCAAAATTGGAGTCTCAGAACCAGAACAGATCTTAATAATAACAGCTAGTAGTTACATGGCACGGGTTGTGCTGAGCACTATACACACATGAACTCGTTGACGCCCCACAATTACACTAGGAGGTAGTAGGTACTCTCATGTCCATTCTATTGGCTATACAGTATTCCAATAAAGCTTTATTTACAAAAACAGGTGGCAAGCCCATCCCTGACCTACTCGTAGAGCTGCTGGAAGGCGAGGTGACAGATGTGACGCTGCTCTACGGACTGTACAGTGTGAATCACCTGAGAGGAACTGGGGTGCGGGGCAGAGGGCGTGGTAATTGAGGACCAGAGCACCCCGCCGGCGGTGCGCTTCCTACCAGAACGCTCACGGCCCGGCAGTCGGGCGGGCAGGGGCTCCCACAGAGGCTGGGCTATGACCCTCCTCCTAACCCCGCGGAGCCCCGTATCCTCCAAAGTTAAACCGAGGGGCCAATCCGCCGCCAGGACGCTGCAGGTCGCAGACCACCGCAAGGCACTCAGCTGGGGGAGGAGCCTCCTGCGACAGGCCCCGCCCCCTGCCCCCGCCTCCCGGCGTGCTTTGTGCCCGGCCCCGCCCCCTATCCCCACCCCCTATCCCCGCCCCCGCCGGCGTGCTTTGCGACAGTCCCCGCCCCCTGTCCCGCCCCCCCCGGCGTGCTTTGCGACAGGCCCCGCCCCCTACCCCGCCCCCGCCGGCCTGCTTCGCTCCCGGCGCCACCCGGAGCACACGTTGCGGCGTCCTAGGCTGCGGCGGTGGAGGCGGCGGAGGTGAGCGAGCGGGCCTGGGTGGTCGGTGCGGGCACCCAGGGGCCGATCCCGCCCCAGGTTCCTTGCAGGTAGGGAGTGGGAGTCCCGAGCGGAGCCTGGGGGCCCGGCTGGGAGCCGCAGGAAGTCTCACAGCTGCCGAGGGGTGCGTGCCGACGGGGCGGCCTGGGTGCAGGTGCCGGGCATCGGGACCCGGCCAGGACCCTTCCTTTCCTAGCTGTTTCCTCATCGGAAAAAAGGGCCAGGTGTGTGACTAGGAATTTATTAAAATAAGTGCCCCACGTTTTTATGTGCAGCATCTTATTCTCTAATTAAACACTTCCCTCTCTCACACACACACAAACTTTTTGTAGACAGGAAGCTTCAACAAAAGTTAAATTAATTGTGAACTTTCCTGAAATATTCACATTTGAAATAATGGGTTGCCCGGGCTGTTTTTCAAAATAAACCAATTAGAGGGGATATGGGTGGGAGTAGAGATGAAACAAGATTGGCCATGTGATTAAAGTTGATGTAATATTTTTTTCTACTTTTGTATGTTTGCAATTTGGCATTACAATTTTGGTTTAATCCTTACACAAGGATATGCTGTTTTTAAATTGATTTTAGAGAGAGAGGGACATCGATGTGAGAGAGAACCATCAATCAGTTGCCTCCGTCCCTGCCCTGACCTGGGCATGTGCCCTGACCAGGCATCAAACTGGCAACCTTGAGGTGTAGGGATGACTCTGTAACCGCGCCTCCCAGCCAGGGATAAGATTTTTCCTAAAATGAAGTTTGCTGTGAACACCTGACCACCTGTGCTCAGATACTGTGCCTGTATCACTAGTCTGCCAGGGCTGTCATGACAAGAACTGGATGGCAGAGATTGATTTCTCTAATGATTCTAGAGGCTGGGAGGCCATGGTCGAGGTGTCAGCAGAGCTGGTTGCTTCTGAGGCTTCTCTCCTTCGCTTGTGGGTGATCAGTTTCTGGCTTGTCAGCTCTCAGGATCTTCCCTCCGTGTGTCCTGATCTCCTGTTCTCGTGAGGACGTCATTGAATTAGGGCCCACCCTAATGACCTCATTTTAACTTAACTACCTCTTTAGAGGCCCCGTCTCTATAAATACAGTCACATTCTGAGGTACTGGGGTTAGGACGTAAGTATATGCATTTGGGTGGACACAGTTCAGCCCATAACAGCCACTTTACTAGTTTGGAATTTTGACCAATTCACTTAGCCTGTCTATGCCTCAGTTTTCACTGCTTTAAATAGGGGCAAATGTAGTCATTCGGTCATGGAGTTGTGAGCATGTCATTGTGAGATAACACATGCAAAGCTGTCAGAACTGTCTAACACACAATAGTGCTCAGTAAGTTGAACATAGGCTTCACCTGTAAATTCGTGGTCGTAGCGCTTCACTCTGGGGTAAATAATGGAGCGAGGCAGTTGGGCACTTACTAATAATGCTGTGGGAATAAAAGCAATAATTGCAGAAATGATCACGGCTGTCCACTACTATGTCAGACACTAATTGCTTTATGTGTGTTCATTCATTTACTCATCATAGCTACCCTAGTGGTGGGTCATTTTCACATGCCTGTTTGGCAAATGGAGAGGCTGATGAACTGAGATTGGAACTTGGGCTCTCACCACTGTGTTGTATTGCCCTAGTTAGAAAGGATGTGGCCCTGGGAGGATTTTCAGTCGACAGGCAGACCCAGGGAGCCGTTGGCTGACTTCTCTTTTTCTTGGCCCAGGTGTACAGCAGTGGCAGCATCCATGGCAGGTCCCCTGTGGCGGGCTGCGGCATTTGTGCAGAGACATAGGACAGGCCTATTGGTGGGTTCCTGTGCAGGCCTGTTTGGGGCCCAGATCTTGTACCACCTCTTCCCAGATCCTGTGGTTCGATGGCTATACCAGTACTGGCCTCAGGGCCAGCCAGCCCTACTCTCCCCAAAGCTTCAGAGACTCTTCCAAGAGGTGCTACAGGACGTTGGTGTCCCGTCAGGCCATTGCTACAAGGCCTTCACCACTTTCACCTTCCAGCCAGTGAGTGCTGGCTTCCCAAGACTCCCTGCTGGGGCCGTGGTGGGCATCCCCGCCAGCTTCCTGAGTGACACATTGACCAACACTGACCGCCCTGTGATTGTACATGGGCAAAGAGTGGACTGGAAAAGCCCAGAAGGTACCCGGCTGAGAGATGCCCTGACCCTGTCCCATGATGCCCAGAAGTTTGCCTTGGCCAGGGAGGTGGTGTACCTGGAAAGCGGTACAGCTGCCCTGCAGGCCCTGCCGGCCCCGGCTTGCCTGGCAGGAACTTGGACACTGAGCATGAGTGCCAAGCATGCCCTGGGGCTCTATGGAGGCCCCATGAACTTAAGAGTTGCCTTCAACCTGGTGGCAGCAGTGGTAGGCTTTGTGGCTTACGCCTTCTCCACAGACTCTCTCACCCATGCCCTGGAAGCCTGGCTGGACCGCCGCACAGCTTCCATGTCTGCAGCCTATGCCCAGGGTGGAGCGGAGTTCTATGAGAAGGTTCTGTCTGGCAACCTGGCCCTGCGCAGTCTCTTGGGTCCACCCGGAGAGAAGCTGTATACGCCCAGTGGGAACATCGTTCCCAGACATTGGTTCCGCATCAAACATTTACCCTACACGACCCGCCGGGATTCCATGCTGCAGATGTGGAGGGCGACACACAACCCAGGCCACTCCTGAAGGGATCATCTCACGGACAGTTCCAGCTCGCGCAGGCACAGCCCTGCCGACCCTGGGGGCTCTCTGCACCCACAGCCCAATGTTATTGGAGTTAAACAGCCTGGATTCTACCTCAACCCACCTCTTCTGATCTAAGCGACCTTGGGCACATCCCTTTATGAATCTGAGCCTTGGTTTACTCCACTGTAAAATGGGGATGATGTACACTTCTGGCAGGATTGTGGGTCCTCTGGCCAAAAGGGTGTGGCATACATAAACGGGATGTCCCTCCTTCTAGGTCTTTGAAACCAGTAGGCTGTGGGGATGAGGTCATACATCTCACCACCAGAGGTGCTTGCAGGATGTGAACACTCCTACAGCGAAGAACCACCCCCTGGTTTGCCTGTTGGTCAGATCCCAGTTTCCTTCTGTGGTAGAGATTAAAAGCTTTGAGGGGCGCCCAGCCAGTGTGGCTCAGTGATTGAGCATCAACCCAGGAACCGAGAGGTCACCAGTTCAATTTCCAATGAGGGTACATGCCCGGGTTGCAGGCTCAATCCCCAGTAGGGGGTGTGCAGGAGGCAGCCAATCAATGATGTTTCTCAGTATTTCTATCTCCCCTCTCCCTCCCTCGGTCTCAAAAATCAATAAATAAAAACATTTTTTTAAAAAGCCTTGAGAGGTCAAGATGAGAAGCTACTGTGCCTGTGAGGCTGGGAAATATGAGCTTGCAGTAGGGCTTTAAGGGTGGTGTGTCCAAGTGCAGCTGGCATGCTCAGAGAGGGCTGGGAAGCCAGCAAGGTGTGGGCCCCAGGAGAGCCCCTGGGCCTGAAGGGGAGACGTGTGGCTGGAACCTGGTAGGACCTATGGTGAGGGAAACCTGGCTGGAGCTCTGGCCAAAGGAAGAGGAAGGAACAAGCCGTTGCTAGACTGTGGCCCTGCAGGGACAGAGCCCACTGATGTAATATCGAGCATGGTCAGGACTCGGAGAGCAGAGGAAGTGAGGTGGGGCATAGGGGAGATGGAGATGGGATGAACTTGGCTCACAGGAGACCATGATGAGAGCAGAGGGGTGGAGGTGGACTGTCGACCCGGCCTGGTGTCCCATCCTGAGCCTGCTGTTTTCCTTGAGCCCTCTGGTAGATAGAGCCAGCGCCCACCTTTGGTCAGATGGGGCTGGTGAGGAGAGTTGTGATCAGCAAGCCAGGCCTCCTGTGTTGTTTTTGTTGGTGATTATGTTTGCCTGGAAGAGGTGAAGGATTCGGGCCTGGTATCATGTATCTCGGGGAAGGTACATAGCATTACGGGAGGCCACGCGGTGGCACATGGTTCCTACAGCGGACTGTGATGGAGAGGAGCATGATGAGGAAACAGGCCTTCCTGTGGGTCCTTCTCTCTGGGCTGGCACTCTACTCTGGCTCCATTCTGCCAGCCTGTGGTTCCCCATATCAGGCCTAGCCAGACTGTCGTTGGAGGCAGAGCACCCCGTCTCTCAGGTCCCTGGAACAGTGTTGGGCACAGGCTTGATGTATGCATAGAAGAATGGATGAGTTAGTGAACGGGTGAACAAGCCCCCACTCAGAAATACCACCTTCAGTGGCCCCTCAGCATGTCATCCAGCTGCTGCTGCTGCTGTTGCTGCCACATGGGACCACCTAGTCTTGGCTGGAGACTTGACTGTTTGGGGTCTGGATTCAATGTGCTTCACTTTCTCACCATCCCTGCAAGAGCCAAGATGGTGGCATCAAGCCTGCCTTCCCAAATGGTAAGATAAGGGAGCCCCATTATGTGTGTGTGGGGGGGGTCCCCCTAAAACTGCTGCTCACTTGGCTTCCTCTGCTCCATGTCAAATTTTGTCTCTGCTCATAGGCTGTTCCCACTCCCTGCATATGCTCCACACGGGCCCAGCTCCGAACCTTGGCTCAGAGCCTCCCATCTGTGAGCTGCCCCTCCTTATCGCCGCCTTCCACACGTTCCCCGAGCCTGGCCCAAGCCTAAGCAATATGAGTATCCGAAACCCTCTCTCTGCAGGCCCGCCCCTGGCATCTCCTTGTTAGCCCGGGCCTGCTGGCCTGCCCAACTGTCCTGCATCCCACTTCCCCAGCTCTATGGTTGCTTAAGTGCCTCCCCTCCTTCCCCACACAGGCCTTTACCATGGCTCCGTCCTTCACCTGAAGCGCTTTCTCCTGCAGGATTACTCAGGGACCCGACTCCAGTAACCGTCCCCATTCATGCCCTGTTGCACACCCTGTACCTCTGCCTAGCCCTTATTGCTAACTGTAATTAAGTAAGTTGCCCTGGGGATAGTGGCTTAGCATCTCCTGCTGAAATGTACTATCTGCAAGGGCAGGTTGTATCTTGTTTATAGCTCTGGACTGAGGTTCTCCATAACATTTTTAATACATGATTGAGGCTCTGAGACGACAACAGACAGTCCTGGCTCCTCGGAGTCTCAGCAGTTACAGTAAGGCTGGCTAGACGCGCGGATGGTACGTGACCCCAGTCCTGTCTTCCCGACTTGGGACGGGGCCTGGTCCTGATCGCCCATCGTTGCTGATTTCAGTGGGGAAACCAGGACACTTCTGGGTCACTTCCTGCAGGGCTCAGGTGACTACTGAAGCAGGGATGCCAGGAGGCTTTAGGGGAAGGTGACCTCCAAATTATTGTGATACATTGGGCCCCTCCACACAGTTTGGGGGTTGATCACAAAAAGGTTAAAACACATGCTCTAGGGCTTCGCAGATGGGCCAGGAGACAGGAAGTTACCCAGTGAACACAGCCCTGCATCTTCTCAGTCATCAGCACTCTGCCCTGGATCCCTAGGGAACATAGTTCTATTGAGTCCTGCCCCCCACATGTTCATAGTTTTCAGAGCTACATCAATACACGAATACAACCTCCACCACACACATACACATCCGAGCATAGCCAGAATACAGGGAGGGGAGTCCCAGGTGCTGGCGTTGGCTCTGCCCATCCCTGATCCTACTCTGCTGCCTCCCTCCCCACCAGCCAGTGCCCACAGTGCAGGGCCCCATGCAGCCGTGCCTGGAGCTGAGCACACACACATGGAAGCCATCCCCCGCATCATCACAGGCTGGGTCCCAAATGGATGTGTAGGTCCTCACATCCCTCTAGTAATGTTTATGGGGCCTTTATTATACTCCAGACACTGTGCTGGGTTCTTAGAGGCATTTAAAAGAACTTACCCCAAATTAGGACATGTAGTTGATATTATTTCAATTATACAAGCAAGCAAACAGCACAGAAAGGTGAAGAAATATACCCAAATCATAAAGCTTTGTAAGTGGCAGAACCAAAGTTTGAAGCTAGCAGTCTGGCTCCAGATCCCATTCTTGAGACCCAATGTTTATACTGTCCTATTTATCCCAAGGGTTTCATGGTGCAAACTTGCACTCTGGACCTATAGCCTTTCTCCCCATGCTGGTTAGAGGTGACTCTAGCCTCAGCTCTTATCAGGAAAAAAAAAGTCACTGAAAAGAGCCTTCTGGAACTTCCAAGGAGACCCTTTCAGCTAACGGAAGAGTAAGGGCCACCAGATATATTTAGTGCTGAGGTGGGAATGGGGTGGAAGGGCAGTGTTACAGAGCCCTAGGAGCCTCCAGCTGAGGACAGGGCACCTTAGGAGGCAGAGGGAGAGCACAGACTGGGCAGCCAGTTATGGGTTCAAATCCTGGTCCTGCCATTTGAGCAGGATGGCCTTGAACAAGTGATTTCACATCTCTGATCTTGAGTTTCCTATCTATAAAAGTGGGGTATTAATATGTATCTTCATTGTTTTGGCAAAAATAATGAAATAGTTTTAAACTTTAAAAGAAGATTGGTTTCCTAAACTTTAGTATTTTTAAGTGGTACAAGTGCCAAGCAGTTCAGGTCTGTGAGTTGCTGCCCAAATACCAGCAGTTCTTTGAGACTCGAACCCTCAGGGAACTCACTGCTGCCTAATACAAGTCTGTGCTTATAGCTTTTCAAGTCCCAATGAGGGCAGTTCTTCAGGTCACTACCAGTTGACACCTTTTGGGAAATTACCTGGCAGCAGCTGAGAGCAAAGGACCCAGGTGGCCCTAGGGTGCTAGGACCTTTGAGGTGCCAGGACTGCGCAGTCTTGAGAGGACAAGGGAGGTCTGGAAGACTGGAGAAGAGGGCATTAAGATAAGAGATCGTCCTTTACACCCACTATATTGGTAATTTTTAAATACTAGAACAGTGGTCGGCAAACTCATTAGTCAACAGAGCCAAATATCAACAGTACAACGATTGAAATTTCTTTTGAGAGCCAAATTTTTTAAACTTAAACTATATAGGTAGGTACATTGTTATTAACCTACCTATATAGTTTAAGTACTGTTGATATTTGGCGCCTCCCCCCACGCTGGTATCCTGTGGCGTCGCCCAACCTACCGACACCCCCTACTTCTTCTCAGGCCACTTCTTCAAAATAAACTCGCCCAGGCTGAAAACCGACTTCTGCGCATGGGCCACGAAGTTTCAATCACACTGTACGTGCGCGCCCACACGTGGTATTTTGTGGAAGAGCCACACTCAAGGGGCCAAAGAGCCGCATGTGGCTCGCGAGCCGTGGTTTGCCGACCACTGTACTATAACATCGTGTGTTAGTAAGGTTTTGGTGAAATTGACACAAGCATATACTCTTGTTGACTTTTATTTTTAATCCTCACCTGAGGATATTTTTCTTTTTACTATTTTTATTTAATACTGTAAAAAATGACAACCAATAACATACTGCTTATCTTCACATTCGTATGGATTTTAGGAAATTATTGCCTTTTCCCCTGGAGAAATAACCTAGACAAAATATAAAGTTGTACCACACTGTGAAATCTACAAATTCTAGACATCAACATCTTGAAGACAATCTCGAGGGGTAGGAGGGAGAAAAGTGTTACAAGAGATGAGACAAGCACATATAAAGACGGCAAGCTGGGGAAAAGACCACGTCAATGACTCTGACCCAGACAGTAGGTACCCTTTTCTTCTGGCACCCACGCCACCACTTCAAATGGGTGATTTTTTGGTCTGTGGTCTAAGGAACTCTCTTCAAAATGACACAAGAGCTGCTTTGAGTAGAGGTGTAACAAGAAAGGTTCAAGTATGAGTAAAAGTTACGCCAAAGTCCAAAGTCAGGGAGGAACCCACAGTGAAAAGGCAACTCAGAAGTGTTAACATCTTGTTACTTCAACAAACTGCGTCTATGGGACCTAAGAGGGAATCTAAAAAGGATATGAGGCTTCAAATCAGCATATATATGGGGTCCCTACAAATCCCATTAGGGATACTTGCCTGACTAGATCGGCTTATTCCCTGAAGCAACAGAGACAGACATGGAGACTGCCACTTCTTAACTGCCTTTTCTCCGGGTCCAGCAACTGCTTTCTCCCATGTTGCTGCAGGTGTCTATTGCCTTACGCTTGACATGAAAAGGCGAACTTTGAGGTGCCAGGACTGAGCAGTCCTGAGAGGGCAGAGGGGTCTGGAAGAACAGTAGTCAGCACAAGCTGTGCTCTCATAATGGCTTCACCTTCCTTCGGTCCGGAGAACCTATCCCGGAGGTCAGTCTGAAGTTCGTTTGCAAGCCTGGGGACCCTTCGCTATCCCACAGGGGCAGCAGGACAGAGGGGGTCTTCAGTATTGCCCAGATATGAAATGCCCACCAGTTTAAAAAACAAAATCAGTTTTTCTTGGGGCTGGGTGGGCTCCCCATCCAGTTTTAGCAGGATGTGGCTGTGGCCATGGGGCTCCTGCTGAGCCCTGCGACCATCGAGTGGGTGGGCACTGGTGCCAGCACCGAGGTAGGGAATGTGTAGTAGGAACCCTGCACATCAGGGCCCAGTATCTGCAAATGGGCTCTCAAGGAAGAGCTGGCTGCCTCCCCTTGGCAGGAGGGAACCTGGGGAGTGGGCATGGAAGGCAGGATCTCAGATTCATACGCAGGAGCTGGCCCATGAAGCCAGAGTTGGGCGAGACCACACCCCTCTCCTGCTTGATGTAATGGAACTGCCTGGTCTTCAGGAGCAACTGCCTGGTCTTCAGGAGGTAAGCCTTGCAGATGGTGGGTGACCCGGAGTCCCAGCCTCCCAGCAGAAGGATTTCAACTGGGCGGACCTGGTCATAAGCTGGCCTGTAGCTGATGCTGAGCACGGGCTCCCCACACTGGCTGATGGGGGCTCTCTGGGTCTCAATCTTCTCCTGTGAGATGGGTTCTACCTCCACGCAACAATCAGGATATTCCGAGTGGAAAGTCTCATATCCCCCTTTGAGGAAGTAGACCCGCGGGCTGGCAGGCGGGCAGGCAGGCAGCCAGCAGTGAGGTGAGCACAATGCGTACAGCACTCTCCTCACGCAGCTTCTGCCCGTGGCGGCTGCCCTGGTCCAGCACACCAGTACTACCCGCCCCACCCCCACCCCACCCCCGCCGCCACGGGAGCACCACAGAGTTGATGTTGACGCTGAGCGAGCCGCACCTGCTGTAGGCAGTGAAGGCCAGGTAGGGCCGCAGTCCAGCACCAGGCAGCACGTCGCCGCCTCCTTGCTGAGCATCTTGCGCAGCTGGCGCCCATTGAGCAACGTGACCTTCATGTCGCACCCCAGCAGCCCCGCGCCTCGCGGGTGCCCACAGCCAGGATGCCCACGGGCGAAATATAGGAGCGTGGGCCGGGACTGCGGCCAGCCTACCGAACCTGGAGCCTAAGCCGGAGCAGTCGCTCAACTCTTCT